TATCGTTATCGATAAAATCCCAGAAAATTATCGAGGTATCATTTTTTGTCAATATCGCACACCCCTAATTTATGTTATTTAATTGATATAATAATTTATTGATAATAATTGTTTAAATTAATATAATAATGCTTTTGACTCATCCATTTTCTTAAAAATGGTTTAAAGGCTGAAATGTAAAGTTTATCATTTTATCAAACAGTAATTTTACAGTTTAATATGGTACTATAGACATTGCCCTACTGCGCTCGTATGGTATTCATTTTAGTTGTGCAGGTCTTAAAAAAGGTCTTAAAGTCTTAAATTTGAGCTTAAAAATCCTGCAGAAACCCTGCTTACGGCTGAATGATTGAGTTTATTTCTCTGTTAGTCGCACCAGTTTGTGTGTGTGATTGTTTTGTAGGGTTGATGAGTTTAACCCCTTTATTGCTGATCTCTTTTTCATAACCTTTTCAAACATGTTTGTGATTTTTCTGTGTTCACAAAGCAGTACAGCAAAAGTTTCATGCCATTCTGATGAAGTAAAACATCCAAAATGCAGTGTTTCAGACTAACATGACCGAACAAAACCAAAGAATTAAATACTTAAGTGAAATAAATACTTCAGAGCCCATTGTTACTCTATTGATCTTCTCCCTCCAGACTGAACAAACTTCTGTATAAGCACAAGTTTGAAGAAGCAGAGAAATTCGCCAAAGCCTTTGGACTTGATGTTGAAGTAAGACCCTGGTAAAGTTGCCATGTAAACATCTAGTTTCTAAAGAGTGTTGATGGTGAGCTGACGAGGTTAGTTTGTGTGTGTTGCAGCTGGTGTATAAGGTTAAGCTGAATGTTGTGCTGGAGAAGCTGATCTCAGCATCAGGCAGTGATCAAACCCTGCAGTGGCCCGAGCTCATCGAAGAGGCCAAGACCAACCTGATGAAGATCATGGTAATAAACCTCTTCACAGCAAACCTCAGAAATATGCATAATAACAATCTTAGCCTGTAAACACACGTAAGCTTTCATTTCTGTATGTATAGTAAATATACTTTCTATAATCATATTAAGAAATGATGGAGACTAAACATGCGCGCTGGGCGATACAGAACCGGAGAGTGAAGCGTCACCATTGTTCAACAAGTAATTTATGTGTCTGCAAATAAATTTGTTCACTTTATTTTGTGAAATATGATCTGCAAAGTGTACAAGCTTAGGAAACTATTTTAGCTATACTGAGATACTGGTTAGAAATGTAAAAGGGGGAAAATATATGAATGAAGCATAGGCTAAATGTTGAGTAAGCTGTGTAAAATAATAATACAGTGAACCGAACACCACGAAGGTATCGATCTCGCCTCATTTAGAAGACCATTACTGTAATGACCAAACTATTGAAACGGTTGAGGTTTGGTGAACAACACATGATTTAATCAGATTGCACTTTATTTGTGTCAGGTTCAAACCGTTGTTGCTCCTTTGAGCTCTCATATTCAGGCTTATGATTAATTTAATTCAAATGTCCCTTCCCTTAGGTCAGAGATGGATACCTGTAAGAGTGACAAACAACATACTGATTAAAGTCCTTGAGTCTGGTGTTCATTAAAGAGTGGAAGCCTATGGACTAAAGTCAAATAAGATGGCCATATATATATATATATAAAGAGCCATGTTTTCATGGTAAAACAGCAGCTCTGCAGAATAGAGTGTGTAAGCAGCACTTCTCTCTCGGGGGCTGTAATCACAGCTGGTTCAGCTGAACTCTACACTGTGTGAATGTGTGTGTGTTTAACATGCAGTCTCCCGTGTGTCCCGCAGGACGAGCAGTTTGTGGTGCAGTACTGTCTGACTGCTTCTTGGCCTTCTCTGAGCATCGCTGAAGACATGTTGAGTTACACCTCGAACCGCTTCCCCTGCTGCCAGATCCAGACAGCCCTGGCTAAGCTCGCCACCTTCGCTAGCGTCTGTGGACCTGACCGCTTTGAGTACGTTCAGCAGACCAGTCTGTTCCTCAGTTATTACGGTCTAGGACATGGCTTTGCTCCACCTCATCTCTTCACACTTTACTCACATTAATCTCTTCATGTCATTAACAGGGGCATAGCATGGATTGAGTTCTTGAACAGTGTGGATTATCTCAGAGACATCCTAGCTCTTCTGAAAGAGGGCAATCTTAGTGGAGCACAGTACCTGTGGCTTCGACACGAGGTAAATGAGTCGGTTCTCTCTGTGAGCTTCAAAGCGCTGTAGAAAGAGTCGTCTGTATGACAGCAGCTTTATATATAGACTGAAATGAAACGGTTCGAAGCCATTCCATGATTTAATGGCTTGAAACGATACAAAAATGTCTTAATTCTAGCGCATTATAATGTTCAGTATGTCGTGGGATCTGTATGTGGGAGTAGATGTGTCAGTAAAGGACAGATGTCGAATAATCATGCGTGACCTGCTGAAATGCATCAGCAAATTATTAAATGAAAGTTTCAAACGTTTCATTGTGACATTAATGTGACCAAAATATGTGTTAGAACTAGGCCTAGCCTATATCACTCATAATCTTCCTATTAACAATAAGCCAGCTTATATCATTTCATTTATTATTATTATTGTTATTATGGCATAATGCACAGCTCTTTAACTGTAGTCTAAACATTCAAAGTGAATGCTGGCTGGTACTGTACAGTATAAAGCACTGCCGTCACTGTAATATTTCACTGTAACTGGTCTAATAGCTGGAACATTACACATTTAGGCTAAATGATAAATAATTTGAGATGAAATGTTATAATGCTTTATTATTTATTTCTCTGAAATGCATGTTCTCCAGGGAGAGTTTTGCAGGGAGTTTGATGAGCGCTGCCTGCATGCTCTGCTGGGCTCCATCTCTTCTGACGTCTCCTCGCAGGACCTGCGGCTGTGGTTTAAGGGGGTTCTGGTCCCGTTTGTGTGGAGAGTGTTGCCCAGCGGACAGGTATGACTTCAAACACCATGCTTTATGACTGTGTCTTGATGATATCACTAGGCGCGTTTCCATTACAGATTTGCGCAAAACTTTGGCGATATTTTATAAATGTCGATACAAAAGTATTGCGAAATGACGGCGTTTCCATTAACCAATGTTATGAGACTTAAACGTAACCTTTTGCCTCTCGCGATAAGTCATGGCAATGGATTTTGGTGAGTTTTTGGCTATATTTATTCAAAGGAGGCTTATGCGTGTATCTTTACAGAAGCAGCAAAGAGAGCCGCTTCAGAAACGTGCGTGGCACGGCTGGAATAAACCATAGACTGTATAAAAACATAAACAAAAACAGTGACCGTATCAGAGCCACACTGCACCACAGACGTGTGCAGTGTAAATTGTCTAAGCATTAATGGTAGGGAAAGCCCCTTATACTGGAGCGCGGCCACTTATGACGTGTTTCTTGGAGATTATAGTACATTGAAGAATGATCATGGGACATTGCACCAAATGGGTAACATTTCTGTCCCCAGGACATTAAATGTATAAAAATGCATGAAAATGAACTCTAAAATACATTTTATGATTTTTTTACATACGCCATGTGACCTGTAAATGCGAAAAAGCCGTTTCCATTGCAGTTTTGCGAATTATTCATTTTTTGCATTGCCTGAAAAACCACCTCATGCGAGCGTAAAAACGTTTTTGCGATTATATGGGCGTTTTTGCGAAATTGACGCGTTTCCATTAGGCGTATTTTCAATTCGCAATTTCAATTTGTGCAATTTGAAGGGTAATGGAAACGCGCCAACTGACTTTGATTGTAAGTAATCATGATTAATCGCATATTATAATATATTTATTCTGTCACAATTTCACATTGCATCTCCAAATTAATAAAGAAAAAACATAAAGATGGTATATTTTAATGTTTAATGGCATCTTTTTAATGAAGGCAGTATCATTGATACTAATAATGCTAATGATGTCTCTATTAAATGCATTTTTCTCTCAATTTTAGCCATTAATCATAACGATTCAACATTACAGTATAACTGAAAGCCATTCTTTTTAACATGTAATAGGCTTTGAAAAATATAACAATTTATATTAATTTAACAAGTTAAGTAATAATAAGTTAATTAATAATGAATAAGTTAATTTTGACAGGCCTAGAAAAAATTATTAGTTTGTAAGGTGGATAAGAAAGTGGTTTTGTGCTATAAATAAGCTAATGTAATGCAAACAAATCATTTCAAAAGCAAATAGTTCTTATGTTCTTACTGTAATGTTAAATTCTGTTGTAATTTCTTTCTTTTCTTTTTTTTTGTTTTTCATTTATGCCCCGCATCTAAGGATGGAGCACTGATTTTAAAAGAAACTAGTCAATAGTGCTACATATTAACACTTTTACATTTTAAATATATGCAGAAAATCCTCGCCAGGTGGTTGGAGCAACGTGCGAGGAATCTGGAGTTAACAGAAAAGGTAGTGAACTCTTATGAGCAGTTTTTCAAAAAAGTATTTTTAAATGCAAGGATATTACTTTTCAGAATGAATTTTTCTTATTTTCTAAACACAGGCTAGAAAATAAGCCAGCCATTTGTGACACTTTCTGTGTGTACAGTGTGGTTTGCCATTGTGACAGACATCGATCACAGTCATTGTGTGGCCAAATCTCACTTTAGAAAGTGTATGAATGTCCTGATGCATCCTAGACATGATCAGGTGACCATACTCATGTAATACAGTCGTTCTGAACCAACAACGTAGAGCTTTAACGGGGTCATGAACTGAGAAACCAAAATTCCCTTGATCTTTTGACATGTAAGAGGTCACTGTACTATAAAATCATCCTGTAAGTTTCAGAACTCAGCACTTTCTCGTTAGTCTAAAAACGGCTTATATTGAAGCCAATCTGCCAAAATGGCAAGTTGAGGAATGTGCCACTTTATGACGTAATAGTGTCTAAACCCCGCCTCCGCAGGAGAAGATCAATGCCTGCTTCTACATCACTTTTAATGAATATCCAGACCGCATCAGTAAGAATTTGATCATTTCACTTCATTTTACCATGGATTCGTTTACAAACAAGGCACAATTCAACGCAGGATTTTCTGAAATACTGAAACTATATTGGATCCAACAGTAATGTCGCACCATACAAGTGTGAGGAACTGTTTTTATTACGTGCTCACTATTGCTTTGTCTGTTATTACAGATCGTTTGATATGAACTGAGTATTTATGCGTTTTTAATCTAAATCACAGCATCGTCCATCTGTGAAGGCTGTAGCTGTCAATCATACACAACTGTTAGCCAATCACAGCAGTGGGCGTTTACTTCTGAGTCTACAATCCGCTACACTTATTCAAACAGAGTGTTCTGATGAGGGGTCAAAACAGGACAGAAAATAGACTATTACTTCTGAATTATGATGTTTTTTGATGTGGACCTCAGAGAACAGCACAAAATAATAACAAAAAGGCAGTTCATGACCTCTATAAAAGAACCATTCTAACAAAAAATTGAGTTTGTTGATGAATTTATTTGACTTGAGTCCCCTTGCAGTCACATTTTATCCTGTAAAACTCATCTTTGATAATCAAAGTGACATTTCATTTTTATTTTTCCAGTGAAAATAGTATTCATGCCTTAAAATGACTGAATATAACTTTGCACCCTAACCTCATTCAGTATACGCAGCTTCACGGATGTGCAGATTAGTCCCCACCTACGCTATATACAGTTTTATGTTTCGCCTCTGCGACAGCTAATAATAGGTAATGTTACACAAACCTTGACCGCAGATGATGGGATGTTTGTGCCGATGGGAAACGGGCTGTCTTTGGTACACTGCAGTTTTAAGGAGAAAATGTTCAGCAATGCTGTTGACTGATGGATTTGCACATGGCTTGTCTTTTAGCATGTTAAAACACCAGATAGACATGTAAACAATGTTAAACGCTTGGTTTTCACCACAGGGGGTCTTTAAGGTTGTGTTAGCATTGTAAGTGACTTTAACTAATTTAATTAACCAAAGTGTCATAATTGATGTATATAGTCATAAAAATCATTGACCCTCAACGAAATTAAGCTTTAAAATCTCAGTCTTTGTCTGGTGGACCCGCTGCAAATGGGCCGAAGTAAATGCAATGACTCTTTGTCTCTCAGGTTAGTTATGTACTTATTTATTGATTGATTTGTTTTCTAATAGAGTGACTGGCCTCATAATGGACTGGTCCTGGCTGAACTTGGCCTGCCTTCCCTCTGGAGGTCTATGGGTTTGGTAAATGTCAAGTTTGTCCCACATTTTTAATCTGTTTGACCACATTCCTGGTAAGTCATTGTGAGAAATAGTAGCACTGACCAGAACGATGCATTTGTGATCAGATGAGAATGACATTGTTTTTCAGGCTGAAAACTGTGTATCAGAGGAAGTGCTAAACCTGCAGTCACTGGTGGCTAACCTCAGACAGCTGTGTGAGCTCGACTCCAAATACAGCTGCCGTCTGTCACTGTCCGACTACGAGAGGGTGAGTATGTGAAACACTGGATGTGAAACACTGCAATAAAAATAACACATTAAAAACAAAGTTATAATAATAGTTTTAGAAAACCTATTCATTTGTTAGTAAAACCTCCAAAAAACCCAGTGCTGTGTAAAATACTTATGAATATACAGTGAAATATTACAGTGATGGCAATTTCTTAATTATTTCAGGTTTGCATATGAGGTTCAGTGTTTGTAGTCCCTGCGTGATTTGATAGAGGATTTAATTTGTGGTGCTCAGAGCAGCGCTCTGTGTAAAGCAATGATCACTCTTTCAGCGCTCCAGACATTTACAAATCATCATTAATTATTATCAGTCCTTTACTCTGTCATTTCTATTGCAGCTCTATTTTCAATTTATCCCAATGGACCCTTTTCACAGTCATCAGCATCATAAATTCCAAGTTAAAAAAAAATATATATATATATATATATATATATAAAAAACGAGTTAATGCTGCTGAGGGTTTTTCTAATGCAGCGATTGTGAGAGTGATGGTGAATTTAACATTGTTGTCTCTTCTGACTGCCGTTATCAATCTCTCTCTGTTTTATTTGTCTCTGTGAGAGTCGTGACCGCTCTCAGTATTCCCGGATGAGCTGTTTTCTCTCTGTGTGTGTGCTGTGGCAGGGAAGCACGCGCAGCATGGCCTTCCTGATGCTGGATAAGGTGCAGGCCCCGGAGCTGGTTCCTGCTGTGATTAAGAGCAGCGTTCAACCCTATGCTCTTGAGAACGGATTGGACCTGGACCAGACCCTCTTACACTACATCAAGGTCAGACGGGTTTCTTTGTGCTCTTCACTGAGGGCTGCACAGATCATCAGAAAAGCATCGTTATGACACCATTAACTCAGTAGTGCTTGAGCGATATAATCACACCAAGGCTGATGTCTTTATTTGAAACAATGATTTCCAGTGCATGCAAACTTAGCAGATTACTGAGTGCACTGTTAGTTACAGTGTTTACTCCCTAAAATGTTTAACAATCTCTTTATTTGTGAACAATTCAAAAACAGAATCAAGAAGTTGCCATTTAAATGAATCTCTTTATTTTACAGATATGTTTTATCATAGATAGATAGATAGATATTTTACCCTAATTTTCATATTTATTAATTTTAAAATGATATATTTTAGTTTTTTTAAATAAAGGATCTTGCATTGCATGCTTTTGTTGTTTATGAACTCAAAGCACACTATTCCAGAGAGCGCTTCGAACCGACGAGATGACTCTGCTTTTTATTCAGGTGTGAATATTATAGGCTGTATATAATATATTCAATTTAATCTTATATCTAACTGCTATTTAAGTAGTTTGGGGTATTATTTTACATCAGTTTAAATGGGGTCAGATTGTACTGTGAGAGAGCTTGGAGTGTTTAAGGAGAAGAGACAGACAACAATTATAAAGTGAAAATCAAATGTGTATTTACAATATTCACATGAGACATAAAACAACACAATAAAACTAGGAAACCTCAGGCTGTTAAAAGCATAGTCCATGACACCATACCCTAAAACAGTCCGAGTGTGTTGATCGTGCCAAAGCTAGAGTCCAGCAGTGAACATGCAGTCCGAGTGAAAGCCCAGCACTGATGAGAATGAGAGCGTTTGTGTGCCATGCTGCTTTACTTTACAGACTCTTTTAAAGACACACATGCATTTAAACAGGTAAGAGGAATAAAAGACACCATGCAAATCCATAAAACTCAAATATATATAAAACAGTCAAAACTAATCCAAGAAATTAACTCAGTTTTCCCAGTCCTAGTAAATGTATTTATAGTAATTACAAATATATTAGTTACACCTTTTAATGTCAAGGTTGCAATTAATTAGGTTATTAGTTTGGTATTAGTTCAAAACCTGTTTTTGTAGCCGCCTTGTGTCTTTTACAGGTTAATATAAACCTGATAAACACTTGTGCATTCAGACTCCTAGCACAATGCTAAGGATTTGGCCTGTCCTTGATATGTTTGCACACATTATACAGTACATCAGGTGTGTGCGAGTCTATCTCTAGGGACCAGGCCTTCTTTTGAATGAATTGTTATAATAAGTTTGATTGTGTTGATGTGTTTATTTTTCAGGAGCTGCTAGACTGCTGCAGTTCTCAGATCACTTCTCTCTTCACTGAATGGGAGGCCAAAGCTGTGGCTGTGCTGCGCTGCATGACAGACACGAATGTGAGATCTCCGTATACTGATACACATAACTAGTGATGCATCTGTACTCACTGTGCCAAAACCAAAGATACCCGTTTAAAACCCCGAACCCTTCTTTGAGAAAACCGTCTGGCCTTCCTCGCTGATCCTGACTGAAACACTCAACAGATCAGTGTACTATATAAACCTCGGTCACACTTTATTTTAAGGTCCAAGTCTCGCTATTAACAAACCATTAACTACGGCTCTCACCTCAAACTCCTAATTTGCTGCTTATTAATAGTGAGTAAGGTAGTTGTTAGGTTTAGGTAAAGGGTATGATTAGGGATGCAGAGTATGGTCATGTATAAGAAATGCTTTATAAGTACTAATACTAATAAACAGCCAATATGTTAATAAGCCTCCTGCTGGCAGAGAGTGAATCTGCGTCTCATTCAGAGCTTCTCAGAGTTCAGATGTTTTTATGTAGCATAATTTCTGTGGATGCACCGATACGATACTGGACCTGATTCTACTCAAATGATTCATTCAAAAACACGAATCATTCAGTAAAGAAACACCGCTGTGTCACTCAGAGATGCGCGACTGTTCTGCTGCGATCTCGGTTTGAACTATTTTAACCCAATCGAGCAAAAACAGTCAACATTGATAATATTGTACTAAAATGTAAGTCACTTAATATTAACTACTCGTTTGAAGTCTTGTATGAAATCAATGTCAAGTTTTCAGGGAGAACGTGTCGTGTTGCTTAACTAGGCTATATGTTATAAACATAAAAACTACATATTTACCACAGTAAGTTTCTTCTGTGTGCAGTTGTTCATTTGTTTTGATTTCTCTCACACACAGACGAGACTGTTACTGTCAATACATTATTATTTATCACCGTTTACAACAAATGTTATCAGAATGAAAATCGGAATCATTCTCGCCTGAAAATATCCTCCTGTCCCAGACGAGCATTAATGTGGAGCTCCGCATCTGACGAGCGTTAATGTCAAGCCCTGACTGTATATTAGAAAACATCAACATTTCAGTGATTAATAAAAAAGAATATTACTTGCGACCTGTTTTTATTGAGATGGATGGCCTGCATGTTTGCGCACAGATCGTTATTCTCTCGCGCCCCTAGTTTAGGAACCGCTGCGATAGAGCAATAAAATAACCAGAGACAGAAACACAAGCTTGTACAGTACATTTTAATGGGCATAATTAAGTGTGAAAATAACTGAAGGAAATATCTGTTTGCTAAATCAACTAAGCCAACTAACATTATTCATATTCTTTGGGTTTCTGTACCCAGTATTTTTACAAATCACAAATTAAATACAGGTAATGGTACTCGGTATCACAAGTACCAAAAATACAAGTATCAGCCTCGTTCTGGAAAAAGTGCTATCGGTGCATAGATAAAGTCAGACCATTGTGTTTGTGCTTCAGGTTTTGAAACTACGTCTAACTGAATCTCATTTAAATCAGAAACTGCTCATGTGTGTAGCATCTTTGTTTGGATCGTGATTAAAATGCAGTTAAAGTGGCTACAGAGAGTTTGGCCTGTAAAAGAGCACGAAACATTAGCCTGTTAGTAATGTTTGTAGTGAACTGGAAAGCAGCTGTTAAGAGTAATTCAGTAACTTGTTAACTAATGATTTTGATGATTGTCAAAAGTAGGCTAGTAGTACTTCTGTACAAAGTCGCTTCTGTAATCCGTGCCCCTCAGCAGCTCTGTTAGCACCGGGTTCAGTCCTCTCTAGTCGCTTCACTGCAGGGTTATCACTCTCTCCACGAGCAGAGATGTGCTGTGGCCAATCAGAAGTCATACACAGCTGTCACCTCACCCTTTTGGATACATGCCAATATTTTAAAATATTATTAGGATTAATAATGAACTGATTTCATTCATTTTTATTTTCTTTTTTCATTTAATTTTTTTTGCTATGGTATTGAAATTGGTTCTGAAAATCATTTGTTGTATAATTAAGAGCTCATATTAAAGGAAAGCTAAAGGTTAAAAGGTATAATTTGCAGTTCAGACCTATTTAATGTTAAAATCATTACTACTTTAAATGACTCATTTTAACTTTGAAGTGTGTGCATCTCATTACTACACCTTTCCCTCTCGCCGACAGCGGTCTGAGAGCTAGACACTGCAGTGGAGTGGAGCAGGGTTAGTCAGGCTTACTGTAAACTCCTGTTTCTGAGCACAGTAGGCTCTGTTGGCTAAAGCTGGTGTTTGGCCGTGTTTCAGAAGGTGATGGATGCTGTGATTGAGATCATGTACAAGGCGGTGGTGCCCTGGAGTGACACGGTGGAGAAGCTCGTTCAGCAGCACCTGGAGAAGCAGCATCCGAAGTGAGTGGAGCGCTAAAGCATCAGGCAGCCTCTTCTCTTCTTATTGAGTGATAGTCATTATCTGTAGGCTCCAGATAACATGTTCCTGTTAGCAACACACTTCATATTCAGTTAGCACTATTTGTGAGTAAGTTCAGGGAGTGTAACGTGTGATGGAGTATAGTTTGTGATTCATGAGTGTTTCGCATCTACAGGCAGGAGCTGCTGAGAGAGGGCTACAGACTGATGGAAATAAAGAAGCTTCTCAGATGCTACGGCATCCGCAGCTTAGCCCTTTCTAACGCTCGTGATGTCATGGTGAGTTTGTCTTCAGCTTTAGATGTCCTGTTATGTGTTTTATATTTAACAGTTGACTATTCCATGAAGGGTTAGACCACAGATCTCTGTGTTGTCCTCTCTGTTCCTGCAAGTGGCTGGTATTTTACTGTGGTTTGCTTTGCTCAGATGCTTGTGAGGCACATCCTAAAACAGGACCTGCCCACCTCTCTCGAGGACTCGCTGAAGTTAATCGAGGCCTACAAACTAAACCCAGCGGAGATCCACCATCTTCACTGCATCCATCTCATCCAGCACAATAAGGTGATGCTCCCACAGAACCGGCTGCTGTGTTTTATATTAGTAGATATAGATAAAAACATCATAAACCCTCACTAACTCTTTTTAGAAGCTGAAGTCATCACAGATGGGTTCATTTATATAGTGGTGGATGGAAACTTACAGCAAATATGATTATAGCGTTCCAATAAGAAAAGGAAACGTCCACGCTAGTGTTTCCACAACTTTCCAGATGTTCTCGCGATGCAAGCGCTCCCGGGAGACTGAGACTTCATGAGCCTTCAGTAAAACAAGTGCTACAATTTGTTATAATAGTGATTTTAATGATTTAATAAGTCCATAAGGGAGACATATGAACAGAACTTATATTATAGAGTCAAATAAAGTTGTAATTAGGTGGAATAGAGCAAGCCGTCTTCCTGAAATGATGCCAAGGACCTGAGCTACTTACACTATCCAGCTCAGAAATACTGATTCGGGGTTATTAATGGAGTTTCTCCAGGGTACATGCATATCTCTAACAAAGTGATTTTAACTGTAGAGTAAAAGCATAACTGTGAGTTTGAGCTGGAAGTGTTGAGTGTTGTGAGATTGTGTTGTGTTTGCAGAGGGAGAAGTGCGTCGCTCTGCTGAAGAACCTGCTCCGTCCTGAAGCAGAGCTTGTGATCGAGCGCATGGCCTGCTGGGCAAGATTTGAACTTCAAGACAAGCGGCACGTTTCTCAAGAGGTCAGAGAAACAGTGTGAACCTCACAGAGACTTTCAAATCATACAAATTATTATGTTCTCTACATTAAAATTATCATTTTGATTTTAACTGGTATAATGTTGCAATGAAATAATAATAATCTTCATACTAAAGTAGGATTTGTTGTCTGTATGAAGTTTTTTTTCCTATTAATTTTTGCACTTTTTCTTTCAATAGCAGAAGAAAGTACAAATGCTAATATCGCAGATTATGGTTGAAGCATTAAAGTACCTGCAGAGCATTCAGACAGGTGAGCACACACAGTATTGATTCTCATTTAGAGGAGACTCTAATGCTAATATACTTTTACTCGCATCTTCCCAGCATCCATTCAGTCTGGTTCTGCTAACTGTTCATGTTCTGTCCCGCTGCACACACACAAGCCTCGCTAATCATGATTCTTTTCATTTACTGAAGGATTTCTCTTCATACTGTTTTGGTCCTTAATTTCTTTGATCAAACTTCTCACTTCAACTTATTTGCCACTGTATCCAAAAAAATTAAATAAAATCCAATGGTCTTTCATGGATTAACTTAAAGTTAATCAAAACATAATCACTTCTAGCAACAGGTGCATATGGGCTAGCTAGCATATTAGCTTAGCATAGTGTCAGAAAGTCTTGGTTACATATGTAGCCTGGTTCCCTCAGTAGGGAACATGACTCTGTGTAACTTATGCACTGGAAGACTTTCCCCAGCTGTGAGAATAACCTGAAGCCCATGAAACAGGATTTTTTGATTAGCTAAACCGATTATCCTCAACAGTTAAAGTGTCCTGTCCTTTCCTCTTGCAGATGATGCCTTCAAGAAAACTGAATGTGAGAACAATCTGAAGATGTTCACAGCCATTGCTCATCTTCAGGTCTCAGTTTATTCATACATGGATTTTGAGGCATTCACTGCCACATTGTAAACACATCTAAACGTTCAGCAACCAATGGGTGTTTGTTTTGCAATGTTCCTGACTCCAGGAAGACTTTGACATCTTCTTGACCCCAGAGGAATATGATGATCCGGCCGTGAGACACAAGTTCAACCAGCAGCTCATCACTGCATATGAGAACGCACAAGCATGGCGGCGCTCAGGAAGACCGCACCCTGACGAGGTTTCCAGCGGTCATCTGAAGGACAGTGATCCCGACGGGAAGACGAAGAGCCTGTCCACTGAAGCAGGGCTCCACCGGCTGGCCAGACAGCTGCAGAAGACGGAGCAGGAGCTGTGGGCAGACCTGGCGCTGAGAGCTCTGGATGCTGGAGACGTGGAGAAAGCCTTACAGATCCTCAGGTGAGGGCAAACCTGACGACCGAGAGATGCAGTTCTGCTCTTATGTTTGCACACCCCTCGCAGAATAGGCAAGACGTTACTCATTTTAATCATTCACATTGCATGTCAAGAATAGGCTTCTCTGTTTGTCTCTGCGTTTCTCCTCTCCTCATCTAGTTGACAAATAAACCTGCCATTGTACATTATGAATACCCTTAATAATTAAGACATTTTTAATATTCTTTAAATATTTCGTGAAGGAGGCTCGTTACGGCTGATGGATCAGTGACCGCTGCTCACCAGCCTTTAGCAGCTGCACGTGTTTTTAAGCTTTGCTTATTTAAAAATTCAAGCGATTTTAAAGCATTCAAGCAAGACGTGAAAGACAGCTCCATTCAGTATCGCGCTGAGCTCTGTGTGAACAGAATGTAATGACGTTTGTGTGGAAATACTATGAAGTGTGTAAACGGCGTTCACAGAGAGCAGAGACACTGAAGACGAGCGCAGAGAGGAGAAAGCACTGTACAGACAGAGCAAGATCACTGCTCACGATGAGCGAGATACTGGGAGAAGAGCCTAAACACTGAATCAGGGTTTCTGAGGGGAACTGACTGTCTTCAGAACAGATTAGATGGTGTTTCTCTGCATCTGGGCTCTGTATAATGAAGATTACAGCAGTGTTTATTAGCGCAGCGCTGCTTTGTTTACAGCGGTAACCACGGAAACGCCGTCTGCTGCTGTTTCTCCTGAAGCATCATTTCATTTGTGTCTTTGCTCTATATATTCAGTTGTGTTACTGCTTATAATTTGCTCTCATTTACTGACTGTTCACTCGTCTTTAATAATGTTTGAACTTTATATTTGTTAGTAGTTTTTGCTGTGGTATGAAATTGGAATCGAGAATTCTAAAATTAAATTGATATCTAAAATGTTGGTGTCATTATAAGCTTATTTATTATAATAAAAGATACCATGGGTCAAAAACAATGATAACAGCAACTATTTTATTGTATTTTTTTGTGGCAGTGCAAGTATAAATCTGAAGCACTGGCTCGACCGGATCAGCAGAAACATCCTTAGCTTCGAGCCCTGCCATAACGACATTGTAAAAGTAAACTATATAAATAGTGGTTTATCCAGAGTTTTTTAAAGAGACACGACTGCTTATATACACATATATATTATATACACTATATATAGTACATAGAGTGCGTTAAATACAGTAAATGGAAATGCAGCTGTGCTTGTTTGACCTTGTTGGTTGTTGCTCGAAAAGCAAGCATATTTGAGCAAATGGACAAAAATTGGTGAAAGAAAATGAAAATCTTCTTTTGCGTTCTGAAGATGTAACGTCTCGTGATTTTGTAAGAATGTGGTTGAGTAAATGACAGCACTTTCATGCTTGTGTGAACTGTCCTTTTATGTTTGAATGTGTTCTCTGGTGTCTTTAATTCCTCCTCAACAGGGAGCTGTACCAGCACCACTCGACCTGCAGCACAGGACAGGTTCTGTTCAGCACGGCCCAGCGCCTCTGTCAGATGCTGGAGGAAAACATCCCCATGGTTCTGCCTGAACAGGTTAACCTGCCTGCTGTCATCCATGGGCTGGCCTGTCAGGCCATTACAGTCTGCCACAGTGGTACTGAAACACTTCCACTCTTCATATTCTCATTAAGTGCATGTCACTGAGCTTTCTTCAGTCAGCTTCCGCAGTTACAGATCACTCGTGTGTCCTTTACACCAACTTCAAAAAGTGCATGTATTTTTCCTTTCACAGACCTTCTGCTGGACTGTTTGGAGCTGTGTAAAAGCACCAGAAGTGCTGCAGATGTCTACAGACAATGTCAGATTGAAGATTTTGGATTTTTTGCTAAGGTCAGCTTGCTAAACATTGCATATGCGATCAACACCCCAATGATATTCGACCAAGGCTGGGGCTGGGCGATATGGGCAAAAAAAATAATATCTCTGTATCCTTAGGCTGAATGGCGATATATCTCAGTATTTTCTACGATTTTCTGCTTGGATTTATAAAAAAATATATATATATATATATATATTTTCTGTATTTCACATCGTGCCCAGTGTTGTCCTACAAACAATGTGCATATTGAAGACTATGAAAACAAATATAGTGAATGTACAGGGTTTCCGGGGGTCCTTAAAAAGTCTTAAAAGGTACAAGGAAGTCTTAATTATGATTTCAGGAGGCCTTCATTTTGGGGACGGAAAGACAAGGATAGCAGTATAGCTTAATGTGACGATTAAACTTCAAAAAGCTATGATTTCATTGAATAAACATGAGCTGCACGTTTCAGAGTCAGAGGCTGGGCTGTTTTGTTTACAGCCGTTACGGTGAAACTGTGATATTTCTGCTGTTCAGACAGCGCCTCCTGCTGGCAGAGAGTGAATGTGCGTTTTCAATAAGCCCGTCTGCAGTTTTTGTTCAGACCGATGTGAAAATCAACCCATGTTTTTACGCAGCAAACACTCCGTTGTAAATGTGAACCTATGGATCAACAAGAAGATAATGCATTATAAAAATCTAAACAATTAAGACAGTAAAATATATGTATATGTTATTTAATTAACATAATTGATTTATAATAATTGCTTAAATTAATATAATGCTTGATAATTTTGACTCATCCATTTTCTTAAAAATGGTTTAAAGGCTGAAATGTGAAGTTTATAATTTATATCATTTTAGTTTTTTGTGCAAACCTGTATCTGAACTGTAAATCATGCTTTTTACTGTTATTTGACAGTTTAATATGTTACCATAGACATTGCGCAACCCCGCTTATATGGTAGTAATTTTATTTGTGCAGGTTTTTAAAAAAGGTCTTAAAGTCTTAAATTTGAGCTTAAAAATCCTGCTGATAATCTGATGTAACCACGCAGGCTATGGTATATATTACCCTATGTGCAAAAAAAGGGGTTAAAATCACATTACATTCTTGCATAACATCATTACAGTCTAAAAACTAAACAAAATAATTTTTAAAGCTAAAATCACTAAATGAAAAATGAAAGTGACGTGTAGCCAAGTGTGGTATCCCATACTCCGAATCTGTGCTCTGCATTTCACCCATCCAAGTGCACACACACACACACACTCACTCACTCACTCACTCACTCTCTCTCACGCACACACACACGGTGTGGAACTCAGGGTCACTTTACATAATACATAAATACATAATCCAAGCAGAACAAACAATACGTAGGCAAAAACAAAGCAGGGACAAGTGGGAAACAAAAGACTAACAATAAATAATGAGACTGAAGGATCTACTGTCAATCAATGACAGTCTAAACTTTGGAACAAACTTATATTACTATTGAAATACAACTGTGCTGTAATGAATATTTAATTATACTAATAATTTTACTGTAATAAAATTACAGTACTTATGTCTTAACTTCTTTACCTACAAGTGTTAAACTCAAACTTTGTTTTGGTGGAAAACTGCAGGGAGACATTCAAGCTTGTGTTTAGTTGCTTTTTGTTATAAATGTATTGAGAAAATCTTTCCCTGAACAAACCATCGATCAATAATTTAACCCTCATATTGTTTGTTAAACAATGATTTATTTTCAGGAATCTGCATTGAGTGGTGAAGAGGATGCATACACTGAATCTCATTTCCAGGATGTCTTTAATGAGGACTGCATTGTGCTGGATCCAGTCTCAGTGCTTCCACTGCAGTATAAAATCACCAGGAATCTGTTGCCACTGTCAGGTGAGAGTATACTCTTATTGCTGGAGTGTGTGCAAACTAATGCTTTGACAAACAAGCTTTAATATGGAAATTATTGATTTTCAGGAATACGTTCATTTGAGTTACAATTTTAACTTCATTTTCAACTTTAAAGCAGCTCTACAGAAGGCAATATAGAGTCATTGTTAAGCTCAGTTTAATTCAATTATTCAGTGAACTCATTAGATGATTTCCACTGTAGTTAAATCAATACAAGTTTACGGAGTATGAATTGGCGTCTAAGTCTCCACTGAGTAAGCCAAAGGGTGACAGTAGCAAGGAGCAGTAACTGCAGGGAGTAAGAAGCCCTTAGCTCAGCTGAGGGAGCCAGTCCTCTGTTCTAACAGTACGAACACAGCTGGATTCATGATCCCAAGCTCCAGCACAGGTCCGTGATTGTGTAGATGGTATTCAAAATATAAACCAGCTCCTTCTGATTGGAGACTGGATTGGGCCAAAACGGACATGGGCAGAAGTTTGAGACCACAGCGATTGTAATATAATGACTGTAATTTGACCAAACCATTGATTAGAGTTTTATAAGTAATCAGGAAAGATGCTTAAGGGGTCATGAATTGAAAAATCCCATTTTCCCTGATCTTATGACATATTTGAGGTCATTGTACTATAAAAAAATATATACTATACGTTTCAGTATTCAGTACTTCCTTCTTAGTCCAAAAACAGCGTTTATTGAACCCAACTGCCAGAATGACCAACTTTGTCTTGGTTCATAATAATCATAATCATCACAGAAGAGTACCTGAAGAGATGAACACCTACTGCTGCTTCACATCTGTTAGTGAGGTGATGAGGAAAGACGGCAGAGATCGGAAAACAGCATCACTTGGGATAAAATACATTTAGATGCCTACTAAGTTTTTCAAATGTTGTGCAATCCTTAGTTGTGCAAGAACATTGTCTCTGTATACCTTCTGAAGGATTTTAAAATTTGGGTGTTTGTGTTTATTTTCAACACCGTGCCTGATTGTGTCAGTAGTTTGTAGGTTTTGGTTTACAAACACTTTCACTGAAAAATGGACCAAATGCCACAACACACAACTCGGTCTGTGAGCTTGTGCTGAACAAAACTCTGGCCATTCACGCGTTCAACACTAGCTACAGTGCTCAATGCTGGGGGAAAATAATGTTGTTAAAAATAACCTTTGATGGAATAGATATAAACATAATACTGTAAGCCAATTAGCTGTAATCATAGCCATGTTTTAACAGTTCCACACGTGGAACACTTATTTCAATGCAAAGGTTGGGGTTAAATGTTTGAAACGGGTCACGCACATACTTTATTCATTGTCTGTCATTTTTAATACAAACTGCAGAGCCCTGCACATGACTTGCAGAATAAAAGATATAGAGTTTTTGTAGTGGTTTTTCAATTTATTAGTAAAAAAAGTCTGTGGTAAATTTAAATATATGATACCTGCACATTTGGCTCTACAGTGTCACGCCAGTTACACACGCTTATACTGAAAACACAAATTTTTATGTTTTTTTTTTTTTTTTTTAAATGTATGTTTGTCATAAGAAACTACTGGAACATAAGAACATTTGGGGTATGAATGTGTGCAGTTTATGTTGTATAACAAAACGTCTAAGTATCAAGTTATTTTTACCACAGACCTTATTTTGCTAATGAATATAAAAACCCCATTATAAAACCCTATAGGAAAATCTCAAGGGCATGAGCATCTTGTAATTATTAGTTCCAGTGAATTAACTAACACGAGGGAACAAATATTATTTAAATTTGTATTTAATATATTTAAATAGAAAAATCACATAATATTTCATAATATTAATGTTAACTGTATTTATTTTGAGAGCATATGTCGTAACTTAGAAATGTTTGTAAGATGGAAGAATACTGTTTTACAAGTGTTAGTAATGTGGATTTCAAATGCAGTCCATTAGTTTAGAAAATTGATAGGTTTCACCAGGCCTCAAGGAAATGTAAAGGTGAATATCATTAGCATAACCCTGAAAGCTAACTTCAAAAGTCATGATAATGTCTCCCAAAGGTAGCTTATACAGCATGAAAAGCTAAGGTCCTAGTACTAAGCCTTGCAGCACACCATACTGAACTTGCAATTGACACCTCTTCATTTTCCAAATACAAGCACATTTTACTCTATATAATGTGCTTAGAGGGATAGTTCTCTCAAAGTTGAAAATTGTTATTATAGTAAATAGTTGGCCATGTGTTGCTTATCGTGTTTGTAAACACAAAACTTTGTCCTTTATTCCAGAATCGAGGCTTTATCCTTTTGGCTGTTCTTGCCTGTCATACTGTGATCTCAAAGTAGGTAAGAGTGTCTTCCTATTGCCTTGAGTATACAGTGAGTCTGTTTGTAGAGTACTTCTCACTCTATGCTTAACCCTAAGGTAAGAGTTTGCTGTGTATTTGTAAGCAAAAGACTGTCAAAAACCTTTTTACTGACATATAAACAGGTGCAGGTAACATGGAGAAAGAGTTCATATTGTTTATCTATACAGTATGTACTTCTGACATTGTAACCAATTAAAGATGGTTGAAAATTGCTGGGGTGGGTGGACAATTATCCAAACAATATTTTTACATATCACTCAGCCCTAATACAGTGCTTGGCATAATTTGTCAATTCTGAATTAAGCTGTTCAGAGTGTGAGACTGATTCTAGCTTCTGTGGTTCTCTGTTCAAGACTAGCAGCTTTAGGGGGCCAGTGGGAAAGGGGCTTGTATTACACAATGTGCTGCATGTTGTTTAAGCTTTGTACTTGTTTAGGGTTTAAAAGTGTAGTGTGAGATTTCAATAGTCCACTTTAGACATTCTACTAACTCCAAGTAACTTTGCATCTACACATCAACTAACTCTCATTAGAGTATTAGTAGACTGTTAGGTTAGGGTTAGTAGAATAAGTTGTCATGTGCTTGCAAAGTGACTTATAGTCAGTAGAACATCTGTTGGGAGAGCATCAGAATAAAGTGTCAGCAGATGTTAAGGAGACAGTCCATGTGATTTCTGACTGATTTCTGGGGAAAAAAAGAAGTTCCTGAGGCCTTGCTCACGAGATATCTGTCCACTTTCACAGGCACTGATTTGGTTGGGCCTTTGCTCAATCCCTTGGCCTCTATGCTGCAGATGCTGCAGGAGTGCAGTCAGCTAGAACTGGCTCTGCGACTTCTGATGGAATCCTACGGCAGCATATTAATGCACTTTGTTTCTAACAACATGGATATCTCTCTAAGCATGCAGGTGAGAATCCTGTAATGTAGTTGAGTTACATCTAATGTAAATAAGTGCTTTTGTTGATGGTGTATTTGTCTCATTTTCAGCTTCATTCTAGCAACCGCTTGGCCAGAGACAAACAGACTCTTGACGGGATAGAGAAAACGGTTCTCTCGTCTGTCACTGTGGTTGTGGTCTCCTTGTTACAGAAGGTGTGCAAAGACACTTAAGATGTGCATTTATCTAGGCTTCTTTCCAAGGAATGATTTAGATCAGTCTGTTCATTAACTCTGTATTACAGGTGCTCAACTGGAGAGTGGTCGACTCTGATCTGGCCATCGGGCTTTGTACCATTTTGCCCAAGGCAGCGGTTGTGGATATTCTCTGGAAGATGATCGCCAGTGCCTGGCAAAATTATGAAAAGATTAAGGTCAGGCTGAAGTTTGGTTTGTCATTTATTAGTTGTGCTTCCTACTGTTTGTAAAACCTTTAACACTAAGTATTAAAGTCATCATAAAATCTAAATGAATCCAGTTTACCTTACTTTCTTTTCTTTCTTTACTTAATTATTTTACTTTCTTGTATTTTCTAGGCCTAAATGTGCAGGATTCATCTGTTTATTTAATGCGTTCCCTCGAGAAACTTTGCGTTCCCTCAAAGATATTTTGTGTTCTCTCGCAAAGATATTTTGTGTTCTCTCACAAAGATATTTGCATTCCCTTTTGTGTTCTCTCGCAAAGATATTTTGCGTTCTCTCGCAAAGATATTTGCATTCCCTTTTGCGTTCTCTCGCAAAGATATTTTGCGTTCCCTCGCAAAACTTTTGCGTTCTCTCGCAAAAGATATTAGCGTTTTGTGAGGGAACGCAAATATCTTTGCGAGAGAACGCAAAAGTTTGCGAGAGAACGCAAAAGGGAACGCAAATATCTTTGCGAGAGAACGCAAAAGTTTTGCGAGGGAACGCAAAGTTTCTCGAGGGAACGCAAAAGTTTTGCGAGAGAACGCAAAAAAAAATTTCCTCCCACCCCTAATTTTTTTTCCGCCA